CTCTCTCTCTCTCTCTCTCTCTCTCTCTCTCTCTCTCTCTCTCTCTCTCTCTCTCTGAGACCACAACCAACACGTCAACATGATCATCATCGCCTCCACCAACAAGATACCATGACTTTCTAGATACACTTGGAAGACACAATAACAATTTTTTCCGTGGACCAAACGAAAATCAGGCGATAGAAACCTACAAGTGAAAATCTAGTCTCCTCTAGCTACCTCTTGAAGATTGCCTCGAAGCACCGACGACCAGTCGAGCAGCCTCGACAGCGCCCGCCCCCTCTCCGCCTCCACCGTCCACGGCTTGAACGTGCACTGCGCCGCGCGCTCCGCCTCGTGCCTCATCCTCCTCTCCTGCCACCACCCCTTGTTGTCGCTGCTGAGAGAGAAAGGCTCGACTATCGTCTCGCCCAAGACACTGCGCCTCACTGCTCCGGGCCGTACCCCGAAGGCTTGGGCCTCCCGCTCTCGCCTCTCTCGCTCCCTTTGCTGAGCGACGTCCTTAAGCTCGAGATGCCTCCCGAGGCCCCTGACCAATACCGGCCCCTCGGCGCGCAGGATGGCAGAGTTCGTCTGAGGCACGAAGGTACATCGCTGCATCTCCGCCACTTCTTTCTCTTGCCGGAGAGCGTTGAACTAATAGTGTTTTGACGGCAGGAGCACGGGATACGTAAAAAATACTGTGAGGGTCGAATGGATGAACAACGGCACCGCGTACCTCGACACATGTCTGCGGCGTCGTAGACGAACGGTAAGGCCACACCGACGTCTTTCTGTAGCCTTACCACAGCCCAACAACAAAGCATATGCTGGTGAAGCAAACAATAAAATTGTGTATGCCATTGCCCTTTGAGTTGTTACGAAAACAACTCAATACCGTTTGTTTTGCGTACCAAGAGAGGGTGTACGCCGATTATTCACGTTTGGATCTCAGCGTATGCCGCTCACCGTCTACCCCTGCCGGTATGTTTTGCTCTCCTTCTGTCTCCCTAGCTAGAGTGTAAATCACTTACCCTCTCTTCTTGCTCTCTCTCCCGCGCACGCAGCTCCGCCGTCATCCTTGCCGGCTCCCGCACGCTCAGCCGGTACCTGTTGCCTGGGCCGTAAAGATCAGCGGCAGCAGAGCCTCTTTCACCGCTGCCCGCGCACCCCCCTCCATCCTGCGACGCCGCTCCTCCCTCCGCGTTCGTGTGCAACAGCGCAGCCTCCGCTAGCAGGGTAGGTTTGTGCGAGCACGCCTGCGCATCACTACTTGTTTCGGGTTGGTGTGTTTCCAATTATTTTGAAGTCCGGCCGGGAGCAGTATCCACACACGACAAGAAGTTAGCCGCGCGAGCACACGAGACGTACACCACGGAGCGGGGGGACGATGGCAGCAACGAGGGGGGAGGGGCGTGGGCATTTCTCGTGGTTGGGATGGCACGTGGCATGATCAACAACAACTGGCAGTTGGAACTTAAGCGAGAGGAAAAGGAGTGAGTATCGACTACGCTCCCGGGGAAAATCAAACAGAAAGGGTTGGATGGGATCGCATGGAGGCTGCAACACCTAGGCGGCAAACATTGTTGTTATGGTGGTATCAGAAGGTGTTGGAGAATAGCATGGCGGCGGCGTGGGCACCCGCTCGAGGCACGGTCCCGTCGATATCCTCACCTGACTTTGGCCTTCACCCTTTCCCTGACCCGCTGCCCCCTGCGGTTGTTGACGAGCTCATCCAGCGGGGAGGCTTGGGCCATTGAGTGCGTCACCGGGTTAAGGGATGGGCGGAACGTGCACTCAAGCTTCTCCTTCGCTTTCTGCGTCATGACGAAGTTCCTGGAGAGAACGGGAGCAAGAGATTGCAGCGATGACCGATTGGAAGGGCGAGGGCGAGCAGGCTGATTTCGCGCAGGAAAAGGCACTCAGCTAGCTTGGCTCATTCATTGACTCACACGCCAAGTCCAGGGCCTCTGTTCGGTTGGTGAAATGCCTGGCCTCCAATCTGTGCGCTGCTCAATGCATCGAACCTCACCGGCATGCTCTACTCTTTTCTCGTGTACAATTCCTGTCACCCGCTTGGCGTGCATTTGGGCCATGCCGCCATCGGTGTATGCCCGACTCGAAACGGTGTCCACCGATAACTATGCTCAACATACATAAGGCTTGGGAGTTATTTCCGTTTCGATCGCACCGTCGTCGATGGTCATCGACGGCCGTCATCCTCTTGACCCTCTCTTCCACCGTTTCCTCTAGTCTCTCCGGCATTCGCCTTCGGAGAAGCGCATCGGTCAGCCGCGCGGTAGTGGGATTGAACCACCGCGTCTCTTCCTTGGCCTGCCATTTCGTTTTTTTCGTTTGTTCGTCAACAACAAAAACGACGAGACGGCCAAGGGAAAGGGACGGAGGGCATATACGTTTGACATGACGTGCACCGCACCCTTAGTGCGAAAACATGTTTTCACGACCGTACTTGTGCATAGCCCCTCTCGAGCCTTCGATTCATGCCATCGGACCCACCCGTGCTTCCTGGCGGAGCCGCTCGCGCTCTTTCCTCTTCGCGTCCATTATCGCCCGACGCTGCTCAAACGGGGCCTGGAGATCCGGCCGCTTTCGGACCAGGGACTTGGTCCCTCGGCTGATGCTGGGCTCGAACGTGCTCATGCGAGCTTCGGCCTTGGGATAAAGGAGTGGTAGAGACAGGCCGGGACGTGGCAGGTACAAAGAATTGAGGCAGACGGAGGCGAAGCGTGCCCAGACAACAATGGGGTGTTGAGTAGGGTCGAGGCTTTTGTTGCGTTGCCAACGCCTGGACTTCAAGTCGGCTAGCTGCTGGGACAGCCCCCCCCTCTCGCATCGGTTAGTCCATAGACGCCAAGGCGATGAGAAGTGACCAAATTTTATTAGTTCATCGAGTTCCGCATGACGAAAAAGCACGTCCAACAGACGTCGTCTGTTCAAATCGTTCATCTTGGCAAAAGCAGGGAGGTGATCGGCTTCGCAGCGCCGCACGTGGTTGCGCCCTCATTTTGCAGAGAAAACTAAAGCCACGGAGGGGGAACAGGAGCAAAGACAGTCGAGCAAGTTGCACCAAAAGAAAGTAGAGCAAACGAATATCACCCCCTGTAGCTGACCTCCTCGTGCAACCCAAACTAGTATTCGCCCCATCAGTGTTTTGCCCGCTGGCGCACACGACGCTTCCCTCCACAAAGCACTAACCTCTTCGTGCTCCTGTACTCTGAGCCGCCGCCGTTCTCTTGCCCACATTGCCTGTTCCTGCAGGCGAGTCACCGACCGACCCCCTCCTTGCCCGCACGCCCCGCCCCCTCCCTCCCCAGCAAACGCGGGCCTGGTGTCCGCTAGCCTCTCGCTCACCCGGCCCATTGGCGGCGGCGCGAACGTGGCCCCCTCTCGCTCTTCCTTGTCGGCCACGAGGAGCCGCAGCTTGTGCTCCCGCTCGCGCTCAACCTCCCACACTCGCTGGTGGAGTGGCCGGTGATCGGCCACCGGGACCGCGCCGGCGGTCTTTAGCGTCGGCTGTTGAAGCCACACGGGGGAGGGGTTGGATTCGGTGGTGATGAAGGGTTAAGGATGAGCGGCTTTGTGCGAGTGATCATTGCGTGGGAGGGAGGATGGCAAATGGGCATCAGCACTGACCCAGAGGATGAGGACGGGTGGGTGGGTTGGTGGGGGTGGCGTGAGTTTATGGGTTTTCATCGCGAGGACATGCGCGTGCATCTCCATGCACGGGTGGGTGAGATTGCGGCGTAAGGCAGGATGAAATTGTAAAGGCGGGGTGGTTTTCAGGTTGCTGGCTCACGGCGTCTGACACACGGCAACGCTTAGTCCCCATCGGCAGAACACTCGAGGGTGTTCACAAGCCGTTGTTCTTTCTGATGATGGGTATTCTGAAACCGTCGTTCCTACTGGTAATCGACGGTAACTACCCCCCCCTTCACCTGGAACCTCTGTTCACCAAGACAAACAACTTGAACAAGTACAGAGTGGGTTTCATGGCTGTGAAACGGTGAGGAGCCTAGTCGGGATCTACGTGAGAGAATACTCGCAGGTTCTTGAAGGCCTTGTCAAGCTGCATAGGAGAAAATCACCGTTTTTTTTTCGTCCTGGCTGACCCTAGGTTGTTGAGTGCGGGCTCGTTGGCCGGGGACTACACATGCTCGATATTCCTCTGCAGTGTCTGCTTCAGACAAGAAAATGGCCTTGTGTGCTAACCACAGCACTGATCAACGATCAAGAAGGCCGGCGACTGAGGCTCCACCTTAGACACTGACAGAAGCAAGGCTGCAGCGACAGCAAAGAGCCCGCAACACACCCGAAGAGATACCACGGAAGAACCAAAGACGACCAACAAAGAGACAACCTCTCGACCCGCCTCCACCCCCCCAAGCACCACGCGCCTGAAACGTGCATTCCCGAAGAGCCTCCTTCTCCAGATGGTGATGCGCCAGCGCTCTAGCGGCCTCTTTCTCGCGCGCCTCCTTGTGCAGGCGTTCGTGGAGTGGTGGCCGTCTGGCGCCGGCCCCGCCAGAAGCATGACCCGCCGCGCCCCGTCCTGCCGCGCTACTCGACACGATGTTAGGGCGAAACGTGCACTCCTTCGTCTCCGCCTCTTCCTGCAGCTCTTTCCGCCTTCGCTCTCTGTCGGAGTACAGGGCCTGCCTGTCGCGGGCGAGTTCCTTTTTTATGACGTCATCGTTTCAACGGCGCGCCGGAGAAGGGGGTGTTTGGAAATGCGTGAAGCAGAGGGGGGGCGGGGTACTCTGCATTTTTTTTCTCAGCCTTCAGAGTGTTGACGACACATCTGAAAAAGGGTGCATTGGTTCTCTTCCCACGAGCGGCTCAGGGGAGAAGGGGCGGATGGGGACGTGCTCTGCTGTTGGGCATACCTTAGCGGTTAGACCATTGACCACGCGTCCTCGAGAAGACGGATCATTCATCCCGCAGGACCGATCACCGATGGCCAATCGTTCCTTCCTACTTTGCCAAAGGTGGCTCAAAAATGTCTTCGCGACTCTGTCTGACTGTCGGTGGGGGATGGGGCTAAAGCGAGACTCGTGCCAATGATTTGTGTACACTCACTCAGACCGGAGCAAACCCAGAAACATATTTCTTCGTGGTCAGGGCGAACGATATTACTGACCTCAATCCTACGCTCGCTGCCGGCTCGTGGCTTCCTTTGTGGTAGAGAGGACCGGTTGTTGTTTTCCCGCCCCTTTGGTCGGAACGCGAGCCGATCTTCTAGCCGCGCCGCTGCCATCGCGTCATCCTCATCTACGAGGCGGCCGTTGGCACTGCCGGTTGGATGTCTATCGCTCTCCTCGACTCTGCAGCGTCCTGTACGAACGATGACCGTTGGTGATAAGGGCAGAGCGACAACCGACCACAGAAAAATGACGATGACAGCAAATACAACACCGGCAACAACGGCAATGGAAAAGTACTTCCCGGAAAGGGGAGAAGCAAGACGCACAAAGTCACCAGGTAGGTGTTAAAGGATAGCTGTTCTGCACACGCACACATCTTCATGTGCAATGGTAGAGAAATAGAACTGGTCAACCCTTTCAGCCCGCCAAGTAACGAGAAACAACTGTGAATCAATCCGTCGTAAAACAATATCCATGCACCAAGCTTTTCTCAACCTCTTCTCGCTGCCGCAACCCATCCCCCTGGAGGATGACCCCGCGACGAAGAGGCCGTCCCTCCTTCTCGAACCCTGCGGTCAGCTACCTGACTCTCATTAGGGTGTCCCGGTGAGTGGCGGTCGTTCGGCTCAAGCGGTGGCACCGGCGGTGGTGGCGACAGCATCATCGCGGCGTCCTCTTGCTCCCACCTGCGCGCAGCGCTGGCGGCACCGATGCAGCTGAGCTCGTTGTGCTTGATGTCGGTGTCGGCGTGGGTTCCATCGTCGTGCAGGTGTCGGAGAAGCGCTTCGACAGGCTCTTCCCCTGCTGCCGTTCGCCATCCGTCAGCGTCTGCGTGAACGTTTGGACCACCGCCTTGGCTGATATCGTCCGGGTACTCCAGATCCGACGCGAAGAAGATGTTTCCCCTGACGGTGCTGGGACTACCGTCGCCGTCATCGCCGCCACTCCCCTCCTCGACCCTTGCTGAAGAGTGGCCGTTACCGCCGGGAATTGCTCTGGTAGAACTCAGCATTGCTGTCTCTGGGTGCGTTACCGCCCCGCTTTCACTCCCTTCGGCAACTCGGCCGTTCCCGGGCATCCTTCGTTCAGTTGCGCCATGACGTTGTGCGGCCAACCGGGCCTCCCGCTCTTGCAGCAGTCTGTTGACCATGGCTTCGCGGTCGTGTGCTCTTCGTTTGTCACCAAGAGAGAAGGGAACCAAGGTGCCATGATCACATCGGCAGGCGGAGTGGCGCAGGGATTACTCACAGAGAGACGTAACTGAGAAATATCCCCGAAGACACATCAGGGATACACACCGCGCACACACATTCGGTTGTACTCTAGCTTGCTCCAGATTTCGCTCCTGAAGAATGTTGCATAACTTGGTGCAAAGTCGTGTGTCGTGCATGCTGGTAGCCTATTTTCGTATCACTACGGGGCCGGCCACTCGCATGCCAATCGCATGCCAATCGACGTGTGCTGCATGTTGGCGTATTTTATTGTTCGCTTACACAATGCATGCAAACAGCTGGTGTAAGCGACCCCCCTCACCTGCTGCCCCGTGCACTTCGAGTGACGCTGACAACACTTGCTATGCTGCTCGGGAGGTCGTCATTCTCGAGGTCGACCCAGGCGCGGCGTCGCGATCCCCCCTTCATAGTGTTGCTTCTGGGGGACGCTCTGTCCGTTGATGGGTTCTCGCCCATCGAGGGCCCACCGTCGCTGGATAGCCTCAATGGCGGTGTTCTTCTTCTGGTGGCTAGACGACGAGGGAAAACCGGCTTGATCTCCTCCGACAAACGTTCGCCGTCGCTCTCCTCGTCGAAGGTTGGCCCTGCCAGGGGGCTTCGATTGCCTGCCAGAACCAAAAAGAGACAAGAGCAGTGAAGAAGGAGGAGCAAGATGCCGCAACACTCGTGACTAATATTCTTCAAACGTTGTGCGCCTTACGTCTAAGGCAGCAACCAAATCAATATTCGTCAACTCTTAGTGGTATGCCCTTGTTGTCTTTATAGAGACTGTAGTGCTTGATGTTTAGATGCTTGTTATCTCTCACACCCGGTTGGGGGGAAAGAGCAGGGAGTGCCACGCCCGCGACAGCTGACATGGGGGTTCCACACAATCATTCTCTGGTCGTACTACCCAACGCACATCTATGTGCAGGGCACCTGAAACAGTCATCTCGTCTACAGATCCGACTACATACGCACTCACACGAACAATCACTGCTATGTACCAGGCGATGTGATGCCGGATATCTCATTGGATGGCATAGTCTACACAGAAATGTAAAGAAAGCTATGCAGGAACTACCGACGTAACAGGCGAGACGCGTCTGCATACTACATCTCCCCATTGACTCTCCGTAATCCGTTCTGTGAATGATTCTGGAACAGGATTCTCTCTCACTTTTTCCTTAAGACAAACGGTCTGCGATGATGGTTAAGCAGTACCCACCGCACTACGTGTGTGTGTGTTTTCGTCCTATTTTTTATGGCGACAGCCCCCCCGTTTTTCGTGGTGAGACGTGTACTACACTTTTCAGCGTATGTAGAGTACTACACTTTTCAGTGTATTTTTTCGTACAACTACAACCATCCAGGGTCACACTGGAGGGGGTAAACACCAATATTTTTTCTTCTTTTTATTTCTTTTCATGCCCCACCTTTCTCCTGCGGTGCGGTGCGTGCTGAATTTTTATTTTTATCGCGAGAAGGGTCCAGCCATCCCTTTCCCTCGTCAACGGTGCTAACGTCGAAGTTTGGTACTCACGAGAGCTTTTTCGCTATATTTCGCTTTCACCCGCAAATTTCGTAATTTTTCACCCCATGGGGATTCGAACTCACGACCTCTGCGACTAGCGGATTACGAGGATACCACTAGACCACCGCGGCGGGGGCGACTGTAGACTGTACTAATAGGTGTGTGCGCGAGGCGCCGGCTGCTGCCGCACATCCTGTCCACTCCAAGGACTGTAGTTTAGCGCTATAGAGCTCGTGCCAACATCACGAATCAGGCTCTGCTCCCATCGCCCTCTATCTCTCTTCCTCTATCTCTCACTTACAGCAGTACTACTGCTGTGGCTGCCTACCTGATGCTGCTCGTGCTCTGTTGACCCAAAAGACGTCCTGCTGAAGCCGTTCCTCGGCTAGACGGATCTCGTCCTCGACTCCACCAAGAATGTCTTCCACATTGTCCATCATTTCTTAGTCTCTGTCGGGTAAGCTCCTACAGAGAGGGTGCGCTGGATTTTTGCGTTGGATCCGCCCGGATCTTGGCGAAAGTTGTGTTGAACGGGAAGGACAGATTCCGCTTTCGGCAGCGGATCCAGATATGCAGGAGGGGGTATCTTCGGCAACTCGAGTTGGCGTTGTGTCCACAGCAGCGTGGAGCGTATGCATTCGATGTCACCGGAAGCAACCAATGCAGAGGGAAAGGGAGAGACAGAGACAGAGACAGAGACAGAGGCAGACCGAGAATTGCAAATAGCGGGAAGCGGTGAGGGTGGGAGGTGGGAGGCGGCGGGTTTTGGGAACCGAACCACTCGATCCGAACAGAAACCAGGGGCGGTATTCATGGTACAGACACACGGAGCCCCCGGTCATGTCACTGACACACCCAGCACCCAGCACCTGGTACACGCAGAGCTGTCGCTTGCAGGGTTCAGTGTATCCCGTTGAGCTCAGATTTCCCCAACAGCAACCGTGCGATGATGAAGAGGTTCGGAAGAATAGCAACGTGCCTACTCTCCTTCAAAGGTAAGCGTTGTTTCGGTCTTTCTGTCTTTCACCAGCATCTCGCTGTCAGATATTGCGTCGACTGCACCCCAGCAGCAGCAGCAGCAGTATTTTGCAGTCGTGTCAACACAAGAACCCCATGCTGTTTGTTGTGCACATGCTCTTCAGCGTACGAGATAATTGATTGAGCGAACTCGAACAGACACCCCTCCCGACAGAAACCCAGACTAAATGCTACTGCTGTACGTTCCTGGTTGTCTCTAACGGACCCCTTGGAAGGCTTCCGTCAGCAACAAGATCAGTGTACTTCGCACGCCCTACCGCGGCCGAGTGATACACATGCCTGAATGCCTGCATCTTGTACCGAATGTAGCGTGCGAACGTTCACACTACCACCGACCACCAGCTGCGAGCGCCATGGATACGATTCGCTGGATGAGACGCATCAGCAAGATATTCATGAAGCCCTTACCCTCATTCAATGCTCTCTTGTTCTTTCGACTCAACGTTTGAAGGAGGGTCCCAATCGTTCACTCTCCGAGCCCATTCCGCGGTTCGGCGGGCACCAGTAAGAAGGGAAAGGGTGGATTGTGGTGGTATTGGTGGGGGTGGAGTTATCTTGAACAAGACGGGTTACTCGGCGAGGTCGCGACTCTCGTCGTCCGTCATCGTGGACGTTGAAAGCACGTCCACTGACGAGGTAAGTTTTTTCCTTTTGACTTGAGACTAGTGTAAGCCAGAGGACTCAGGCTGTGGTTTGATACATACGCGAGAGTGATGTTGAGTCTCGCAGAGCAGGCCGGCTGTGTTGACAAGGATCAACAAAACGATTGGCAGAGGCAATTTCTGGCTGCTGCTGCTGCTGCTGCTGCTGCTGCTTGTGCAGGGTCTAGGACGAGCTTCAAATAGACTACAGGCGATGGGCTTGAGAGCGGAGGGAGCCCCATGCCATATGTGCTCTAGTTACATCTAGTTTGGAGTAGCTTCGATACTGGACTTGCACGCCACGGAAGAATGTTCAATGTCGTCTCTTGATATTTTTCGTTGAAAATGCTTTCTCAGCCGGTGGGAGATCTGAAAGCAAGGCTGTTGAGGGCATCCGCTGGTGTAAATCGAGGGCTCAGCTGCCGAGAGGGAGACCAGGAGGAAATTTTAGAGATCGTGGAAGAGCTAGAGGTGGGTCACGAATCAGAATCACAGTCACAGTCATTGACGCCTACCTTTGTTTCTAACCACAGCGTTGGCCTCCTGACTCCAGATGGCGTGCCGTGCGGTCTAGCTTCACAAGCAAACTTTGTATGTTGCTATCATCACAAGCAAACTTTGTATATGGACTGTCAGACCTGCACTCCCTGGAGTCCGATTCTTGCAGCTGTCACCGGTGCACTCCCGGCCGTCTCTCGGGGCAACGGCTGCAGGCGCCGCGCCTGAAACCCCCGTTGCACGACAACTGGCCTCGAATACCACGGGTGATACCTCGGTGCATTCTTGGACGCCGTCGCCCCGTGCTGTTACGCAGCGTAGATACCCTTGGTATTCGTTGAAGCTAGAAACACACGACACAGGCTGCCTGTACTTGCAGCAGCAGTGGATTCACTCGGTGTTTCATGTACAATACCACCCGTTGAGGAATGCCACGATGGGAAGGTGCTGACAAATCCCGAGTGGCCACGGATGAAGTCGCCTTTTGAGTCCCGCCGAAACACGTGCGCCGTCTTCTGCCGCTTGTTGCGCGCAGCAGTAGTTTGCAAACTGCCTTGTGGAGTTCGACAAGTAGAATGGCAGATTCGTCAGTTTCCTGGTACATTCGTATCATTTGTTGTTTCCCTCGTGAAATCGGCATGGGCCCACCAAAATAAATAAAAAGAGTTAATTTCGTCCGTCCCAATGCCACCCCGTCTTGTATATGTTCCTGCACGCTTTCATGACCCGCCCACACGGAATGACCATACCACCACCCAACCAGTGCAGTAACTCTCCGACCTCTCGTCGACCCGTGCTTGGGATGTGTTTGTTGTTGATGTTTCAATGAACGAACGATGCGCACAAAACCAGAGGCAAAACCCGAATCCGACGCCAAACGACGGATTCTCGGAGGGCGCCTCTATCCTTGCGGGCGAGTGGAAGCTCATTTTCACGTCCGCGTTGGACGTGCTGTCGCTGGGATTAATCCCAGGCGTGGAAATCGGCCAGATATTTCAGAACATCAACGAGGATGGGACCGAGGTATGTAGGGAGGGCAAGGGGCCCTTTCTTCATCAGCTGAGGGTTCTTATTGTTCACCATCAAGTTAAGAGGTGCAGGCGGTGGAAGTTCGGGGGCCACTGGGGGGTTATCGTGCATGCAGTACGATCGAGGCTACCGCTCGGTGTGGTGCCCCACGTCTACGGCCTTGGTCTCGTATTGAGGCTGGCGAACCGGGCTGAGTACAGGCTACAGGCTGATTGCGATCGTGATGGTTGGCGGTGGATCTCTTGGTCTTGCGGCTAACAACCAACACGATTTCGTTTGTTTTTTTCGTGTTCTCGGATTCGGCTTCATCACCTAAATTTTGTTTCGCGGGACCGCCGTTCTCTTTCTTTTTGGATCCGTGTCGATGCGACTGTTTGTTCGATTGTGGAAACTGCAGATCACGAACGTGGTTGACCTTCAGCCAAAGGCGGCGCCGGTGTTGGAGCGCTTCGCGGGCAGCACGTCGGCAAGACTAGAGGTGGGATGAATTCTTATCGGAGAATATCCCAACGCGGATATCGGCGTATCGATAGCTTGCTACCAGTGTTTGGAAGGGTTAGTTCAAAGTGGAAATTGACACCCGGATATCAATTCCAGTAATTGAACCGGAAGCTTGCGGAGTGCGGATTGCATGAATACCGCCTGCATGTCTAACGGATGATTATGTTGCAAATGCAAGTAACATTGTGCGTACCCTCTTCACCTTCATCGTCTGTGTATACACGGAACATAATGCCGTCGCCACAAAACCACACAGTCCATCTTTTGGGGACGGAAACATATTTGATTGTGTGTTGTCCGTTTAATTGGTTTGGGTTTTTGGGAATAGTAAACACAATGAGGCATTCGATGCCCGAGAAAACGGGTGTGCATGCTTTGAAGTGCAAAGGAAAAAACGCTCCCGGTTGAGTTGAGTCCCCACGAACCCACTTCCATGTCGCGAAACACACGGCACTCATGCTACCATAATCGGTAAGCTGGCTCCTGTACAGCCCGTTATCTGCCCGCCCGAAGCAAAGAGAATGGCCAAACCAAAGCTCTCGAGCAATCTCGAGGACGCGGCTTGAGCCACGGCAATTGGTATTGATACGTCGGTGCTGTGCTGGTTTGTCTGTTTTGTAAAAGTCCATGCGGTCTTCCGCCCTTCGCACTCCAGCGGGGAGGATCCTCTGCCTTGGAGTTCGACCGACTCTCGCGGGTCCACTCGGATTCCCAAACAATCGCACCACATGTTGAAGGTCTCTGCGGGACAAAAAGCGAAAACACATTTTTGACGTGTAAACACGGGGTGAGCTATCGACCAACACCGAGGTTTCGAAGGGTGCACCAGAGTACAGTAGTTGAAAAGCCAGCCACGCAAACAGGATAATTGCTGTCGGGAGAATTCGATAACTGGATGCTCACCTAGCTCGTGGTCTTCTTTGGAGGTTGCTTGGCTCTGTTTTTGGGTTGTGCTTAAGCCCGTCAACGCTCTCGCTGCGAGAACCTGTGGCGCCCGCTCGCTCCATCGCCGGTAGCTGCGCCTGAAACTGCTTCAATTCTGCCTCCGTTGACAGGTCTTCGCCGCTGCTTCGTTGGAGGGAGACAAGCGCCTCACGCTCTCGTTTCGCCGCTCGCAGTACTCGCCGCAAACGCTTCTCGGTCGGGACGTGTCGGCGACGCTGCCTCCGTTCAAGGTCAGCTTCCCGGAGATCCCCGGCACCAACGCCGGATGGATTGACACCACCTTCATCGACGAAGAAATCCGGGTTGCGAGAGCTTTTGGTGGAAATCTGTTCGTTCTGGCTAGAGTCTGAACAACAACGAGAAGGCGACCAAAATTCGGGCGTGCGGGTAGAGGGCTTGGCGTGCACGCTGCGGAGTACACAGCCGGGAGCCGTTTCTCGAACGCTTTTGGTGTGACCCGTGAGTTATTTGCTGTTGCACAGGATGGACTGATGATCTGCGTAGTGACCATCCGGAGGGCTTGGGTGTTTCTGGTGCATATGCATGCATGTACAGAGTGCATGAGGATACGTTGGAGGGCGACATAGAGGAGATGTCAGTAGGGTTGTAGGGACTATGGCAGAATCTGTGTCGTGCTGACCTCGCTTTTGGGTCGCAAGAAGCGAGCGACTACAGGTAGCTGTTGTTCGACCATGTGGTGCACTTTTTGGCTGGCATTGTGTGTTGTCTTCGGTACTACTGTTCTACAGCAGTTTGCTCTTCGAGGCGTACCATATCATACGACCGTTTTCTGGTTGCCACTGCAGCGCAACTAAAGCGCCCAACAGTACGCACTGAATCAACAATGTCGAGTCTGATGCTCTCACCGGGATGAGTGCGAAATGGGCGGATGCGTGTGTGTGTGGAAGGCGTTGCGGTGTGAATATACTCATCATTGTTGAGTAAGTGGTAACCTCAGGACCATATACAGAAGGTGAAGAGGAACGAGTTCGGGCGTCCCTGCTGTTTTTCCCGATTTCATGCCACCTCTGTTTCGCGTTCAAAATCATGGCATGCGCCGAACGCTGAAAACGGCATGGCGAAAACAGAAATAGATGAGCTTACGCATTCCATTGAAGCCTGGGGGAAATCCAATTCTGGCTGGAATTTGCCGTGAAGAATTGCGGCAGCTAACTTGCTTGCTTGAGGGTCCCCGCTAGAACCCTCCCGCATTTTGGTTGTTTCCGGCTTGAGTTCCCAAGTGGTACCGTACCGTGTGTCGACTGCAATCTACATAATCATTCCGCCGACAAGCGAGTAAATGACGTCTGTCTGCGTGCAGACACGCTCGACACGCTTGCCCACCTACAGAGTATGTCTTGCTGCACGCGAAATGGGAGAGAGACGCGTTTTTGACAGTATTATAGATGCCAACACAAAGCGAAGCTTGGCGAAGCGATACAATACTGCTTTACTTCATTCAGAAGAAAGAGGTTTGCCCTTCTTCGCCCCCTTGCCACACCGAAAAAAGTTTGCGCTTGTTGGGATTTCAACTTATGTGCGCGCCCTCCAATTAGTCAACGCCGACGCGAGCCTCGCCGCTTCGCAGCACCAGTGGCGCGATCGGCGCCGTGGAGGGAGAGTGGACTATGTAAGTGTGTCTGCGTGTGGGTGGAGAGCGGCTTTCGCGGACCTCAAAACCTGTCAATCCTGCAGTCTTGAAGATCCCAAAAACATGGGTTGGTCCGCTTTGCTTCTCTCCCCCCGTCCTTCCCTCTCTCAGCAGCGTCAAGAGGCTCACCACGCCGCCGTTTCACTCACCCCCTTCACTCGACATCATCGCCTACCCAACCGACTAGGACGCTTTACTTCGGGCGCCCGATCCCAGCTGATATGACGTCGACTGGTGAGAGGAGGTTGTCGCACGCTTTGAGCGTCCATCGTCAATCACGCACCCCTTGCTGTTTGGAAGAAGGCCTGAGTTGCACGTCCGCGCAACAGAGAGACACGCCCTCTCAAATAGGACTGTTGGGAAGACGAACTTAGAGAGGGAGAGAGGGAGAGAGAGGATTCCCGAAGATCACAACCAACATTAGCAGCAGCAGCAGCAGTATTGCCCGTCAGCAACGTCGAGTGAGTCGGGTCGGCACTGCTGTGCCCACAACACAAACAACATGTCCCCTTTGTTTCCTCGTTTGCTCTCATCATCCAATTGTTTGTAGCGTACAACAGAGGGCAGGAGAGGCCTCCCATGCTGAGAAACCAGGATGATGAGCAGCAGCAGCCGCGGCTGGACCCTACAACGACAACGCAACAGCTGCAGTACGCCCGAGACTACCTGGCGACTCTGCACGGCGATAGGGCCGCGTCGTGCTCCGACTTGGAGGAGGAGGCGAAGGTGTTCCTCGGCTCCCCCTCCACGGAGGAGCAGGCCCGACGCTTCCGTCTCATCTACCAGCTCGTGCGCTACCAGGTGGGTGGACTGACTGCTGTCTGAGAGATCGTGTCCAAGCGTCTAGACTACAGCAAGTAGGATACGGTGGTCGTCCTCTCTGGAGTTACTTCGTAAATTCGTCGTGGTGATAACCTTTTTGGGGTCGGACGATTCCTTGCGATGGTTCCCTTGGAATTCCCTCCGGCCTTCGGCCTCTTCCACCGCACCGAAGAGAATAAGACCCGGTGCGGAGAAGAGGGGAATATGTCCTACCTCATGCAGGAACATGTTGATTATTGATGCGTCGGCTCGTAGAGAGCACGGCGGGAGTGGATATTACATTCCCGTTTCAAACCACCATCGATAATTACAGCAACGGAAAGTCATGTACTAATTAGAGTAGCCTCCTCGCCGATGTCTACCGTCGTGTCTATACCGAGTTACGAAGGTGACACAAGATATCACCCCCCCTGGATTGACTCTCAAGGTTCCATTTCTCCACAGCAGAAAGAGCGGACTTGGATAAAATGTCGGCGCTGGAATCGTCTCGTCAAGCGCCTTCCGCAATTGTTTCGTTTTTGTGTATATTTTCGTAGTCATGGAGTAGTCGAGCTCTGAATTTTTCCAGGGGTGTGTTATCTTGTGTCATGAACCTACGATACACAATCATATGCCTAGGTTGCGTAAGATACCTACCCCAATCGTGAAAATTCGTTCATTACTCTACTACGACGAAGTGTCACATACGCTCAACGCCTCGTTAAGATCTTGACGAAACGGTTAGATACAACGCCGCCATTTTGGGCACCCGTCACTGCTGTTGTCGCCGCCGCAGAGCAATCGAGCTTGGAAAATCGATCCAACGGGTGTGGTAACATTCGCAACCTCCTAGCAGTACCAATATTCATTTTTCGATTTTTTTTTTTTTTTCTGGTTGCTCTTCCCGGTTGACACCCGACACTGCGCCTCTCAACGCCAGCTCCATTGCTCGAGGTTGCGTTGCAAGAGCAGACGTATGCGATGCCAAGGAAGGTGCTCTATTGCGACTCGTTTGGCAAGCGGAATCGATCGTCTTCTCTGCGTTGCCATCTCTCCCTTACCCGCACACCAATCGTCCTCCTTTCGTGTCCCCCGGTATTTTCTGCACGGACTAATTCTTCCCGCTACACACACCCTACCCCACCTGAGGCAACGAACCCGCCCTGCGCGCAACACTACCCGCCAATAACCCTGAGCAGATCCACAGCCACACGCACAACATGTACGCCATTCTTCAGGAGAAGCTTGCTGCCATGGCAAGAGTGCAGGTGGGCACCAAAACGACCGCAGAGGGACATTCCTTCCCGAGGCTGCCCTGGAGCACAACCGTGTACAGTAGAATAGCACGTGCAACGAGTCTAGCCTAGTTTGTATCGTGTTCTCCGCACCCCTCTTCATTTCGGTGAAATAGCAATATATGCGGACTTGGACTTCCCCCGAAGACACTTGCCGTTCGTCTGCTGTGTATCTTACAGTGTTGTCTCTAAATCACGGTTTCCCTGCAATTTATCGCCAGGAATTGGCGGGTGTTGCCTGTTTCATCACTGCGAAGTGTTCAATCATGCCCGGTGTGACCGGATGACCTCAACAGGTCAGATTTTGGAGCAGTCATGAACCCAAGTTCGAGAGCATAGGTTTTCCACACAAGACGGGCGCCTAACAAGTTTCTCTGCGTGTTGTGATTATTCTGTGCTTTGGAAAAGGTTGCCGACGACCGTTTTTTTTTTTTGCGTCTGGGAAGTCAAGCATGTTCTCATCCTTGTGTGTTTTCCGTCTCGTGCTCTCCTTCCTCGATCTCGTCGTGAATTTTTCCGTTCTCTTTGTTTCGTTCGGGCAGGCTGCGGTGGGCAACGCCGATGATGACCCCGACGTGAAAGAGCTTACCATCGCTCTCGTCAATGGAAGGATTGTCGACGCCACCATCAGGTGTTGCCGTCGTCGTCGTTGTTGTCATCCTCATGCTGTTTTACTCGCGATACTCTTGCGTTCCGAAGTCCATCCAGCGTCCTCCAAGTCGGTCTGATCGAAGGGACGGAGCCTACCTCCTACGAAAGTATGGATGACTGTCCGGTTTCGTGATTGTTGCAATATTGTGATCTTGGCTGACCCTGCCTACGTTCGCTGTTGCAGGGTGATCGAGCGGGCCGTCGAAGCCATGCGCGACCTCAACGGGAGGAACGAGGCCGGAACAAATACAAAGGCCTCCTTCTCGACCTCTTCCTCGACCTCCTCCTCGACCTCCTCCGCATCATCATCCCCGGCAAGCAACACCCCGCCGCCCGAATCATGGGAGCAGCCCAGAAAGCAGCAGCAGGAGAGGAAAAAACAGAGACGGGATAAGAAGCGCCTCGAAGCCACCCCAATAGGAAGGACCTTCGATTCGCCTTCGAAGCTGCCCAAGCGATCCCGTCTGCCGGCCGCGGCGGTGAAGGAGATGAGGTCCGTGATATTTTTTCGCACGCGCGGTAGCGTTCCGGCGGACCAGAAGCCGGACAGTGATGGCAAGCTAGGCTGGTAGCGCCCTTTATGTTTTTCTTTTTCGCGGCAGCAGCTGGTGGCGTTTTGCGATTGGCTGTACGATGCCAGAAGGCGGAAGAGAGCAGACTGGTTCCGTTTATTTTGTACGCCCGATTGGTATCCATAAAGAAGAGCTCGTGCTGTTGTTTTCACTCACCCGCGCACACGTTGCTCGGCGTTTGAAGGAGGCGTTGTCGTCGAACGCGAGCGGGGAACGGGAGACATTCGGCCAAAAGATATGAGCCTAGAAAGAGATTTTGGTTCCAACGCATAACGAAGAGCCACAAGAACGCTCGTCTCCCGCTGTTGCAGCAGCAAACCTTAACTTCCACATGCTCGACAGATCCTTGGCTTTGAACCTGTGCTCCGCTCGCTGACTGAGAGTTTTGCGATGGAACTTTTTCGTTGTGGTCACATTGACCCGTCCCTACCTCTTGTGCCCGGTCTGTGTGTGCTCTGCTCTCGCTCGTCCATCTCTCGCCAAACAACAACACACGATACCAGGACTTGGCTCGACCAGCACTGGGACGACCCCGTACCGACTCACGAAGAGAAGACTAGCTTCGCTGTCAAGCACGACATCACCACCAAACAGGTACACGCGTACGATCACCTACGATTTCCCTTTGGTTAGTACCGTAGGTGGAAGTTTTGAATTCTGCGTTCTTGCTGTTTAATGCATAGTTGCCAGCTCGACCCGACATGCCCGCAGTGCCTGCGTAGCCCTCGACCAGTGCCATAGAGAATTGCTTTTGTTTCTCTTTATTTGTTGAGTATTTCCTCTTTGTGTTTTTCTAGGAAATGGCATGCTGGTTGACCAACTAGCTGCTGTGGTGCAGCGCCCGTCCGAGCCCCTGTGGATGTTGATTGATTGCACTGCGTCGTTTATCCACCGCCACTTCTGACTTCCAAGTTCAAGCCACCGGTAATAGCTATCGGTGTAAATTAGTGTTGCTGCGTGTTGCCGTACTGATTCGAGGATCCAGGATTTGACGATGGTTTGGGCTAGATTTGACAGCAGTGAAGGCGTCTCTTTGTTCCCAGCATTCCGCGGCCCCTTCGAGTTTCGTTTGCTCCCCCTGTTGCGGCATGCGAACAATGATTCACGGCCGTCTGTATTCATGCAGTATGCGAGTTCCTTGCGCTCGCTGCTAGTGTGTCACCCTGAGCCAGTAGACTTCCGTTCGGCTATGAGCAATTCCGCGTGTTGAACCCGTCCCCCTCCGGAGTGCTTCCACCTTCGCCCTCATTTCGGATTTTTTTTTGTCTTGGTCTGCTGTGGTTTTGTTAACCGTACTCTTGTGTGGTGTCGTGTTCGTTTGTCTTCGTGTCAACGTTTCAGGTGGAGAACTGGTTTATCAATATCCGCATGAGGGAGTGGCGGCCGGCCATGCGCCGGGCGTTGGATCATGCCGAGGTATGCTGTTACCGCGTAAGATCGTGGTTTGAGTTTCAGTACGATAGTGCCGGCGGCGCAGCGCCGACGGTACCACTATCGCCAACCGTTTCGTGCGCCTGTTTATTGGGACACGCTGTCAATGTTTGATTCGGCGTGTGCTGTGCTTGCGCTACCGTGCCCGTCTTATTGCGATACATACATGTAGTGCGCAAGAGCGCATGCTGCCCGTGGCCCTCTATCAACACCTCCCCCTTTGAGCCGTGTCGTGGCAAGTTCTTATTGACATAACATATTTTGTCGCCACCACCATCGTGACGGACCATACGTCTTCTTGCCTCTTGCCGCTGTGCCGCCACCGTATAAACTGTTTTGGACGTCGCATAATGTTGTTACAGGAGACCGGCTCGTACGCCGAGTTCTCCAGGCTCCTCCAGCACACCGCCGATGGCAACGTCTTCAAGAAGGTATGCATACCTGTCTAGCTCTTAGCTGGCCGTATCATAGGGCGCCGTGTTTTTGAAATAAAACAAGCTCATGCGACCCGTCCTTGGGTTACCGGAAATAGCAACACGGTACGCAGTAGGAGGGGTCGGTTGGGGATGCACAACAATACTAAACCGCTCGTCGAATTTACGGCTCCAGAGAGAAGACCCCTCTGGAGATACCGTGGGTGCTCTCGCGGACCTTGACAGGGTGCATCGTGCATCTTTCGATTTTGATGTCTTGGCTCGACGGCAGAGTCCACATCCTAATGCGTTTTTTTTGGGACTTCAAGCTTTGGTTGGGGGAGCACCATTTAGCGTTTAACTCACGTTAAAACTGTAGGCCACTCGGAGGGGAGTGGACAACGATGCGGCAGATGTTGATGTAAGTATTTTCTGGGCGACCCTCAAGCCAATTCCTCTGCATCTACGCTAGATGTGCAGGTTCGTATCTTACACGAGCGTGATGGAAGGGGAGCGTTCTGTGATCCCAGATTTCGCGGCACGGCACGCGTGTGATTTTCCGGTGTCAGCAGCGAGAAGAAGTTGGCACCAACACATATCGTCTTTGACGACAGGAGGTGATTGTGACGGGTTTCCCGCTGTCTAGGCGCACAATGCTCACCCCCCGCACCCCCTTTACGTGTACCTGACGCCCCCACCTCCCGTTGTTAGTTCCTTGAGGAGCGCCAGATGGGTCATGGCTCCACCCTGGTGCCCCCGCCCAGCCTCCAGCGCTTCATTGGCGCCCAGGGCTTTGCTGCTTTCGCTGGGGACGGCAGGGCGAACAAGCGGTCGCGCTGAGGGGCAAGACTGGGCGGAAAGTCGAACGAACGCGAAAATCGTCGTTGTAAGTCGTGTCGCTGAGCGTCCTAGAGGCTTGTTGTTGTCGCTCACGAAGCCATGGCTCGCCTTCGTGGGTACGTTAACAAGAGACGTTGTGGACACAATTCAACGGGGTAGTGTACTCATTGCACGTAGCGTGTTTGTTGATCCTTGTCAGCCGTATCACTGAGCGTCCTAGAAGAAGCTTGTTGTCGCTCACGAAGCCATGGCTCGCCTTCGTGGGTACGTAAACAAGAGACGATGTGGACACAATTCAACGGTGTATTGTACTCATTGCACGTAGCGTGTTTGTTGATCCTTGTCAGTCGTATCACTGAGCGTCCTAGAAGAAGCTTGTTGTTGTCGCTCACGAAGCCATGGCTCGCCTTCGTAGGTACGTAAACAAGAGACGTTGTGGACACAATTCAACGGTGTATTGTACTCATTGCACGTAGCGTGTTTGTTGATCCTTGTCAGCCGTATCGCTGAGTTTCCTAGAAGAAGCTTGTTGTTGTCGCTCACGAAGCCATGGCTCGCCTTCGTGGGTACGTAAACAAGAGACGATGTAGACACAATTCAACGGTGTATTGTGCTCATTGCACGTAGCGTGTTCGTTGATCCTTGTCAGCCGTATCGCTGAGTGTCCTAGAAGAAGCTTGTTGTTGTCGCTCACGAAGCCATCGCTCGCCTTCGTAGGTACGTTAACAAGAGACGTTGTGGACACAATTCAACGGTGTATTGTACTCATTGCACGTAGCGCGTTCGTTGATCCTTGTCAATCGTGTCGCTTAGCGTCCTAGAGGCTTGTTGTTGTCGCTCACGAAGCCATCGCTCGCCTTCGTAGGTACGTTAACAAGAGACGTTGTGGACACAATTCAACGGTGTATTGTACTCATTGCACGTAGCGTGTTTGTTGATCCTTGTCAGCCGTATCGCTGAGTGTCCTAGAAGAAGCTTGTTGTTGTCGCTCACGAAGCCATGGCTCGCCTTCGTGGGTACGTAAACAAGAGACGTTGTGGACACAATTCAACGGTGTATTGTACTCACTGCACGTAGTGTGTTCGTTGATCCTTGTCAATCGTGTCACTTAGCGTCCTAGAGGCTTGTTGTTGTCGCTCACGAAGCCATGGCTCGCGCTCGTGGGGACGTAAACAAGAGACGATGTGGACACAATTCAACGGTGTATTGTACTCATTGCACGTAGTGTGTTCGATGATCCTTGTCAGTCGTGTCACTAAGCGTCCTAGAGGCTTGTTGTTGTCGCTCATGAAACCACGGCTCGCCCTCGTGGGAACGTCAGCAAGAGACTGTGAACAAATGTAGAACGTATCGTGTGTGCATAGGAACATTGCACGTATCGTGTAGAAACATTGTCAATCGTGCCGCTGAGCGTCCGAGAGCCATGCCTCACCTTCGTGGGAACGTCAGCAAGAGACGCTTGTGAACATGACGCACCGCGTAAAAACACGTGTTGTTTTGGTCTCTCGCGGCTGGGGCTGGCGGTTGAGTTTGTCGCGATATGGGACAACAGCGCTCCGATATTCGTCGTCGCTTTGTACCTAAATAGGCTTGTCGCTCGGGGAGGGGAGGGGAGGGAAGGGCGGCTCTGCTGCGAGTTGAAGGCGGGGGTCTAACTACTGAAGTTGATGGTTGCGGATGATGCCGTTTTAGAGGGGAATTGCTAGTTGTGGGTGGAAATTTTGGAGCGGCTGGGGGGGCATTGGGGTGGTGACGGCCCGTGAGGTACTGAGCATCTAACTGTCGTTTGTAGATTGTGCAGACAAAATTTTGTGGTTGAACGAGATTAGAAAGCGGAGGCCTCTGCTGTCCAGTCCAGTACCGTGGTTGATGGAGCGATTGCGAGTGGACCGAGTTATTGTGGCAACCAAGAGATGGTTTTGCACATCAGAGGGTGCTAGTCTGCGTTTGTTCGCTGCAGGTTGTGTGTTGGAGAATACGACGTCGCCCAATTTGTTTTTTACGTGGAGCAAGAAATGCATCAATAGGCACACTGCAAAGTCGAGGGAGACAATGAAGGAGCGACTTGATATAGCCGAGGGTCGGTCTGGCGTAAAGAAGAACTTCAAGTTTTGTCTTCAGCTGACGTCACTGAACCTTCACTGACTGAAGGGACGCCAATGCATCTCTTCTAGTAATCGTGCGCCTTTTCTTGGGTGGTGTGTCTTTCTCCTGAGGATTTTGTCCTGGGAACTACTGCTGTGTACCTTGTGAACCTCTAGCGCCACCCCTCACGAAAGGTCGGTAGTTCGAATTCCAGCCAAGTTACATGTTCCCGTGTACCTGCATAATAATTTCGGTAGGCGGATCGGAGCAGTAGCTGGGAGGAAGAGAAGAGTATGGTCGACTTTGGTTCGCCCTTGAGCTTATACACTACTGTTGTATCCTCTGGCTGAGGGGACGGTGTCGTCCACCTCCCCTTTTACCCAACAAGCGTACAAAGACCGTACGAACCACCAAGGAGGCCTTTGCTTCGACACTCGACCAGCTCCAGCAGTCGGCACGAGCATTTTCACCGCCCGTCGAACTCGGTACTTTCGTACATTGGCGTTGAAGGTCTGTGCTGTCTATATGCTACCGCCTTGGAACTCCCGTCTGGGTTCACCAACGTGAGAGCTACGATCATGCATGATTGATCATGACCATCTTGAACAATACTCACAGCAGTCTGCCTCTACCATAGTCGCACGATCTTACATACTGTAGATTGGTTGACACGGTTTCATAAAGTTTGGTCTTGGGCTCGTGCTGACGCGGGGCCCCAGGCACACCGGATCTTGTCATCGGCCATTCGTCGTCGTATTCCCCATTTATCGAAGCGATCTACAGCAGTAAAACACATGAGAACAAGACTCACATGGTACCGAAGCACTTGGTTTTCTGCGGACGACCCAAAGGAACAAGCTACGTCACCAGTACTGCATCACCACAACATACCTCCTCCTTTCGACTACAGTAGGTGGCCCGATACAATGCCGGTTGCCTGCTATAATGCCGGTGAAATCGGCTGTCAACCATCGGCATTATACCGGGCCACCTACTGTACTGTTCTTTGAGAATGAATGGCACAATGAACCGCCTCGTCGTGGGCCACACTGCGCAGCGTACGGAACTAGTCTACAGGGCATCAATTGTTGTTCGAGGCTAGAGTTTTCCGACGTCGCCGATGTCCCCGGCCCCGTCGCGCGAGGTGGTCGGCATCTTTCCCTCCTGGCTTCCACGCCTGGTCGGTCTCGGTCTGTGACCATTGCACGTTGATTGTGGCGCATGAGGCGTAACAAATCGCTCTTCGTGTCCAACCAACTGAACGGCATCACAGGGTTAGAGTCATGCCGCTCCGACAGCAGTACTCCCTACGAACCGAACGAAATTGCATGCGTATGGTCAGCCGGGATCCTCAACGCCGCCAGCCTTTTCTTCCTCCACTAGAGAATCGCAGCAAGAAACAGTGATTAAAAATTACCAACCAAAAACACCAATAATGGCTGTGTCTTCGTTATAGTGAGCCGTAATCAATCTTTTCAATAGACGTGTCCTATCCTGTTGCCCCCGATCCCAAGACCATCGTATTGGACCGCACTCGTGCTGCTCTCTTAACCAACACCGTTAACAAGATGTTAAGGTCACACGGGGGTGGCTTGGGTTGCAGACGACGATGCGGCGCGCGTCAAGTAGGCATGGCGGTGCCGATCGCAGACCCAGGCCACGTTTCCCGTAAGCGGATGAGCGACCGGCTGCAGGCCGAGCATTTGGCGCCAATCCCTCCCCCCCGACCTTCCGGAATAGTGTTCGTCGAGGAAGGCGACGACCTTCTGGTACGCGTCCCCCGTAGCACGCACCACGTACTCCGTCTGTTTGTTGTGATTCACAGCCGAGAGAGTACAGTATCCCCTACGCGATTCAGTTTGCATGTAGGAGAAAATGTACCTACGGCAACTGAGCGCTAATTCATGCGTGTTTAGTTCATTTACAACAGCTGCGTGGGAACAGCGAAGCGAACCGTGACTCTACGCTAGTCCTCCTCAACATTCCAAACGTTGACAGCCGGTAGCCGCACTCCGGGCGACCGGGTCTATGTGACAGCCACAAACGCTTGCCTGTGCCTGGAGCTGTTGTGGTGTCCTCGATGCCCGGTGTCGTGCGCCCTGTACCTGCAACGTTGAATTCCCGAACATTGAGGGGAGGCAGCGAGAGGCGAGATTGTCGACCAGGCTTGACATCAACCCGATCGTGGACAACACAGGACGGGAAAATCCATTCCTAGGATACGCCGAACCATCGATACATTTTCCATAAACTTCCTATGCATGTCACTTGCTAGTCTGATCGCACGGCTGGCCCGAAAAGGACTGCTCACCTGGCGGCTGGTTGGCTGATCCTCCTCCTCTTGCAGTGCAGTGAACAGCTCTTCAATGTTCCCGCCTACTTCGCCACCGAGTGAACTCTCTCCGGCAGCTCTAGCATACTCTGCTTCTAGGTCTGAAGGGAACAAGCAAACGTTTTCAGTGCTTTTTTTGCATAACCACGGAGACGCAACGGTCAGTTGGTAATTTTGGCTTCTCACGTTTGGCGGTGTATCGTTCATTTGCCAGCATAATACCGAAACCTGGCGCACACTCTGCATGCTGTTATCGCGGTTTCTCTATGTCGGCCCTAACGTTCGAGAATACCTCAATTGCTGGACAAGGTCGGCAAAACCTCGGACGCGACCTGACTGTCGAACGTAGTCTGTCCACATTTCAAAGTTGCCGCGTTGTCTACCAGTTTTTCAAAGCGGCACCCCTCTTCTCTGGTAGCCCGGAATTTCTTCAAAAACGACATTTGGAAACGACTCGCCTCTGTATACTACTGAACCCCCATGTATAAAGGGTTGAATGGTTGGCCTTGCCATCAACGGGAGCAACACGCCGAAAGCGTGTTGACACGTTGGTCCTGTACCGTTCACATCAAACACAGTCACCGGAGTGGCTAGGGTGCATGGGACGGGAACTATCTTTCTGGAGTTCGTTCGGCCACGGTCACGACGACTCATTCTTTCAATCAAGAATAAATGGCAAGTTGCGCGGTGGGCAACACGTAGCACTTCATCATAAGCAACGCCATAGACAGACATATATCATTTGGAAGCAAACACGGAAAATACTCGTTCAGCCTGAAAGTTGAACGACCTTGTCGAACCAAACGGCACTCTACGCACCTGCCAACACGGAAAAGGCCACGACCTCAGTCATTTCGTTGGCCCCAATCGGAATGGGGAGGCCGGTCACAACACGTGCCACCGCAGCGGCCAACTTGAGCACCATGATAGACGCCTTCAGAGCGGGCGCCCATCGTTGCATCTGACGGCTTGGCCTGGGTACACCCCCCATCGCCCCCCCCGAACATTTGAGAGACCGAACGATAGCGTTAGGCTGCCGTGTGTGCCCCGAGTGTGCAGGTGTGTGTGGTTGATACGACCAAACAGTGTGTTAGCGTCGATTTTCACTGATCACGCAGCTGCCTTGGAAACTCGCTCCTGCATGCCACAACAGAAGCTGCCAAACAAGGTCGCAAAAGGAAACAAGGTAATACAGAGAAACGCGAGTAATGGTATCAGCCATTGTGCGAACTAATCTCCTCCAGGTGTATCGCTGTGGATGCTGCCTTCTTGGGTAAGGGTCTATCATGTGCGATCAACATCAACAGCATCCAGAATGGACATGTTCCCCAAACGCGTCCATGCACACACAAACACGCGCGGGCGCGCGCATGCACACACACACACGCCCCCTCACAGGGTCCTAATGAATGGCATTTAGAAGTGTTTTGTGTTTTCAACCGCACTGGGACTGACGTCTTTTCATTGGTCACCCGGTCAGCGTGGTCGATGCAAATAATGAAAAAACACTCACTCAGTCGGTTGGCGCGGTCGATGCTGATAATTATGACACCCACACTAGGCTCGCTGCTTCAAGCTCTGCATGTCATACGCACCTTTTGACAGTAAAACCCTTGCCTTTGGGGCCGCAGTGAGCTGGATGAAGGTTGTACGCGCACAAGAACAGCATGTTCGTGCGCTCACTCCGGCACCAGCTAGGTTTTGAAGGCATCAGGCCACGCTTCCACCTTTGATTGACCTATGTGCCAAGGTTTTCGACAGGAAATGTGAATCGTTGTCGGTCAGGAGGGGTGGCATTTCAGGTCAACACCATTGCCAAACCTCTGTAGAGCTGTACGAATGTGCAGTTTTCATCGACGACGGCACTCTCCGCGAGATACGAAGAGGACTTCAGAATTGGAATGAACCCGCTCCCCTAGCAGAACGAACACATTGTGGACAAGCACCTGTGCTCTTTAATGCGAGGACTCTTGTCTGCATCGGACTCCCGTGGTGTTTCGATCCGTGAAACAATCTACGCAGCCTGCATGAACCCCGCGGGCATGCTAATGCTTGTATATTACCTCTGGAACCATCAGGAGGAGCTTGGGGCAGCGTGCGTTCCCTGTAATGAGCTGGTCCACGACGTTGGCGGTCCTGCTGACTCCCCACATTATCGCGCTCAGCTTTTTGTCGTGCTCATTAAGGGTGCTCTGCGGTCATGCGCATGGATGGTTCGTCGGCAGCCAGCGGAAGTTCGGTGTAAGTCAGACATCGGTTGGCCGATGACCTGGGGCAGGGTCCTGTGTGATACGTCCCTAGGGAATTCTCACTGTGTTGCACTTCCGAGCACCAGCAGAACCGAATGACTCAGAGGGGGGAAGGGTAACAGCCAGACTGCCACGACACCAGTGTTTGGAATAATTTGAAATGAAAATGCAGTGAAGTGGAGATAGTCGCTCCAACTTGCTAGCCGCTGGGTCCTACCCACGGCCATCCAAGCATTTACCACCGAAGAAGTGGCATTTCAACACGACGAAGGAATCGAACGCGCGAACAGCGGAGTCACAGAACACAAACCTTTCGTTGAAAGAGATGAGTTTCCATACGAAATCGCAGATGATAAAGAAACGAGGCAGTCCACAACAATCAGCACAAGGGAAATCCGTATGCCACCGAAAATACTCGCTCAACTTTAGATAACCAACGAGGCGAGACAGAACCACCGAGGGAGAGGAGAGGCGGCAATAGCGTGCACGTAGATCCGATAGGCAAGCCGGTGATAGGCGAAGGAAACGGTGTCTTTGGCTTGTAAGCCGTATTGAAGGGTTGGAGAATGGCTGAAACTTCGCTATTTTCCACCGCAAGCACCTTTTTCAAGGCAGCCGCGATTGTTGACTGAGACAGGAAAGAAGACGCGAAATCAACCATACCAATACTTCTCGTACCTCGATGCTGGCGAAGCGCTGTGACATGGCGCGCTGCATGCCCTGTATCGCGGTCGACATTTCTCTGAGGTTTGCGGCGGAAGCACCTTCATCGCCCCTGTTGAGCTGGGCTAGCTCGTCATTGTAGCGTTCTAGTTTATCCACCATCTGCGTAGCGGAGAACGTGCTTCAAGGTTAAAACATTGGATGCAACTAAAAGTTGATTTTGAAGAGAGGTTGGTGCTGTGACTGTGGGTTTACAGCAGATTTATGTTTCTAAGCAACTGACGCAACAGCAAAGTCTGCACGAGCGCTGGCGGCGCTGAGACTGCATGGCCAAGCAGGGAATACTAGTTGTACTCGGAGACACGGCAAGGGCGAAAAAGTCGCTCTCATCCTTCGTATTTCTTCTCATTCTCTGGTACACGTATTCTCAACGAAGCAAACGGCCACTTATGCCTGAACCCGCGTCACTTTTTTCGCACATGTGTGGGTACGCACCAGTTCCTAAATGCTGATTCAAACACTCGCAGAGTAAAGATATTGATCATTTGCCTTTGTGTTCGGCAACAAATTCGTTCTGGCTTCAAACGTTGAGAAGAGTATCGTGTGGTTTCCAAGGGTTGACCAAAGGGGCGGGGAAGAGGGTATCGAGAGTGCCACCGTTTTCGGGACGCTCCTGCCACGAGCACTGCATCAATTGCTGCCGTGGTATTTGTCGGGGCCACACGGGTGGGCATGCACGTGTTCATCTGTGTGTATGCCTGGCGCAGAGTCTTGCACCGTAAGCTACACTAGTTTCACACGAACCGCGATAGGCTCTACCAAAGTATAGGAATGAGTGCGACGTGGAAAGGACGGAATCTTGACACGAACAAACACGCTTACGCGTTTGACACCTCCCTTGGTGAGCGTGCACTACTAGAATTCAACAGCACGGGATATACGTGGTACAAATGATCTCACAACAAAAGGACAAAATGAAAATTGCCATCAAGCGGAGGGTTGCATCTGTCGGTTACAAGCCTTATTCTTGTCACCTCGCGAAGAGGGCTCGCCGATGCTTGGGAGTTCTCGGAGAGTTCTTGCACAGCTCCTACCAGGAGCTGCATTTCCTCTCGAACACCGTTTATCCTGCCTGTCTCCAGCTCGCGATCACTGGCGATCGTCGCGGCCATGCCGTCAATGCGGCCAACAACATGACCCATCTCGCCCTACATGGTGGCCCAGAATCGTGCAAAAATGGACAGCGAGCACATCAATGACCGCAGAGAGAGAGCCGTGACGGACGATGGAGGACATGCACGCAACGTTGTTCATTAAAGTGAGACTGAAAACACACGCATTGAACCACAAGCGAGTCATATCGGATGAAGACTCTGATTTTCACGTCGGCTATAAGTCGGCAAAGAGATAGCGCAACACGACCGCACAACCACCTACTCATATTCGGTGCGAGAGAAAACATGGCTTACCGACAGTCGATATCGCCAACAACACAAAAAAGGGTGACCAACACAAAGTATCACGGGACCGACCGAGAAGGGCGACTAACAAAAATATCACGGGACCAACCGAGCATCAAAATGGCAAACGATGGCACCCAACGCGAGGCAAGACAATGTTCTCCAGTGAAGGGGAAACAATGACAATCGCCACAAAAGCTACATATACCGCGTGCGCTAGTTCGGCAAAACACGTCGGTTTCTCTCTGTTTGTAATGTCGCATGCGCGAGGGCTAGCTCAGCAAAACTTCGGGGGAGCGAACGCCAAACCAAGCACGCACAACAAGAGTGCCCACGGGGAAACATCCAAACAGAGCGAGTTGGGGTGGTCTCTCGAGACCAACGCCCCGCGAATGCGTAGGATTCTGTCGGATGGACGTTCGCAGAAACCCCAACGAGAAGGGGGGAGGGGGGACTAGTTCGAAGCATCCAGCACTGTAATATCAGCAAGGTATCGTAGCACCCATCACAATATGCGCACCTGTAGCGCGTGCACCGACGCTGCGTTCGCCACCAGGAAGTCGTCCCTGAGAGCATCGAACGCCAGCGAAAACTGCTGCCTGAGGCCCTCTATCTCCCGCTTCACTTCCTTGACGTGCTTCGAGGCACCACACGAGCAAGAGCAAGGAAGAAAGGAAAGTTTGTCACAAGACGCGACAAGCAAACGACGCAAGCACAGGAACTCGCTTCCAACGACTAGGCGGGTAGTCAGGCAGGCAAGGTCCTACAGCGGATGAGCAGAAGTGTGACCGTCGACGGTCCTCAAGGTGGCACTCGCACGGCAAAGGCGCGCAAGGGCGCATGCCGAAAAATGTGAGTGTATAGTCCGCTGCGAGCGCTGTTGTCGGCATGCATCCGAAATCCGCGATACTATGTATCACATCCTCACAGAGGTGCGTGTTTCGGCGACGTAACCGAGCTTCTTGCCGCTGACATGCTTTTTCTTTATTTTCAACTGCTCGATCCATGATGATGTACAAGTACCCGCTCCGACATATTGGATTCTACGACCCAGCTCGCGGTAACGTGTGGATCTATTTGGGCCTCCCGCAGCTTCTATCTTCCTGTGTGCGCGACTCACACTCAGCTCTTGGGGAACTACGAGTAATAAGTCGAAAACGTACGATTAACAGGCGACGGGCGTACGGGTGTGTCGAAAGACAGCACAAACACCCTTATACCTCCCTTTCAACAATAAGCACACGGCATACCCATACAGAGTGGTGAACGAACCTGGCCGATAGGCATATTGGAGGTGGTTTTGGTTTGAGGAGAGGGGGCGGCGGGGCCGTAACAACCACCAAGAAAATGTGATATCCTAGTCAGGCGGGCTTTCCGAGTACCTCGATGACGGGCTGAAAGTCCAGGTCTTGACTTCGAAGCATAACCGTGTCGTTAGCGGTGATGTAAGAGCGTTGTGCCAAGGCCAGCATGGACCCTCTTGCCCTGTTGGAGGGGAAAGCGCGGTCCGGGAGCCCAGGCAAAGACGCAACAGAGCGACAACAAAAAACGCGCGTGCCAGCTCAAAATTTACACACGCAAAGTACACAAAATCTTGCAGATCTACGTTTTTTCCCCGCCAAGCCGCGTATTGCTGGGTAATCTCGTTCCATTCCCGTGCGAGGCCTCTCGACTGTTTTAGCGCATCGGACGGCAGGGTGTGCACCCCGACGTCCATCAGATTCTGCTTGCAGAGGGTAGAGTTCTCCAGGTGTTGGTGGTGAACCGGTCGAAACAGCTGAGAAATCATGCGAGCTAGGACCTCTTCTTCACGTAGTCTTCCGCCAGCCGAGGATAGATGTCGACAATCTTCTGAACGGCCGGCATGAAATCTTAATTTTGTTAGGGTCAAGACGAACATACCACTCCATCCTCACCTGCCCGCCGCCTCAGATTCGGCGGGGAGAGCTCATTTGCCTTCTGCCGCTACCGATCGAGGTGTGGCAACTTACCTCCGGCATGAACCCCATTTCGGGGACGGCGGAGCGCATGCAGCCGTGACTCCGTCGTCGCCAGCACCACTACGTTGTACCGATTGGTGCACAAGACCGTTACTTTGTGCCACTCGTGTTTCTACGGATCTGCAACAGGGACGCTGCTCGGTGATTTTTCTCCCCCCGAACTAAGGGTGTTCTGTGATTGTGTTGTGCGGCCGAATAGGTTTGTGGCGGTTGGTGGCCAAGCTTCGTGCTGTGTGTGTGAGAGAGAGAGGCATACAACGTTACCGCTGTACAAGGTTCGCAGACGACGAGCGTAAAAAGGCTAGGTTTCGTCTGAAAGACAGCGCCGATCAACGTAGTTCGAATAATGTATAGAGCCGCGGCACGTTCAGCAGACATACCTCGGATTCGCTGGTATAAGCATCGTGTCGAGGATGCGGCGAACAGGGTTTTGGCCAGCCTGGCCGACGTGCGCCAACTCGACTTTCTCGTTCCCCTTGGAAAGCTCTGAAAGTTCCCACGCGACCTGTTGTTTTGTTTTGCTTGAGGTTGTGAGATCGCTGTATGTGCAGCGCTACCGCATGACGTCGCTGCAGAAGCCCAGCGGTTGGAACAAGACGACATGAAGGATTTACACACCGCTTGGGGGAAGGTTGCACGCCAGTTGGGTGCAACAAAGACCGAAAAACAAATTCTTCGGGTTTTCACAGGCATCACAGTGGATCATTCTCGCCGATCAACGAAAACGCGAGACAAAGGACAGAAACAGCACCGGGACGAAAACAAGAAAGAGACGGGGGCACCAACACAGACCTAAGCCGCAAGGAAGTACAGTACATTACTCCGAACACGAAACCCCGCCAAAATAACAAATTTATTAAACGAACGGGTTGAACGAAGTGAAAGGCGGCAGGGGCTAGCACGGAACGCCCGCCCACCTCTGCCGCCGACAGGCCCCTAAACGGGTACTCGTGTCCGGCTTCCATGCCATAAATGAGCATCCCCAGAGACCAGATATCTTGCGCTTCGTCAGCGGTTATGTAGCTCTCGCCGTTGAGCATCGCTCGCGAGACTTCTGGGGCCATGTATCTGAGGTGATCGACGTGAGGGAGTTCTCCCCTTATCTCACCGCGGGAGAACAAGGGAACCAGTTCCACCCCTTGTTTTTCTTGTCCTGCGGCAAGCAAAAAACGGCGGTCGCTTCGAATACGTTGTTCTCGGACGTTGGCATGTGAAGGTTGATCGCTATCGAGGGGTGAAATATCGCAAGCTACCGAGCTGCAGGGGTGCGGTGTCGGAGGACGGAGTGTTTACCTCACAAGCAAATATTTTCTCTATCAGAATGGTGTGCAGTACATCAAGCTATCCGTCATTGCATTTGCTCCGCCGACGCTTTCATGACATCATGACGCTGCTCATCAACAATGGAACTCGGGGCGAATATGAAAAGCCCTGGAGATGAAAACGGAAGAGTTTGACGCTCACAAATTCGGAAAGCCACAGCAGTGAGACGGGCAAAACGGTCTCGTGAGCGGCGTTCAAGGCGCCCTCTCGTTTGGGTGAATGGCGCGTCCGAGTGCCAAGATACCGACACCCTTGTAACCTGCCACGGACAACCCGACCAGGTTCCGATGGACTTCGGCGACAGCTGGGCTATTCGCTGTTCTAGCCTCAACGATATTCTATCATGCGTTCCGAACTGGATAAATGCTTCGCGGCGATTGACCATTTTGTAGCCTACATAGCAGTAGTATCTAAAACCTATAGCAAAGCGTTCCATCGGTGGACCTCACCCTTAGCGTTGGGGGAGATTGCAGCGCGACTGAAGTCTGTGGCGAGCAAGACCGGGAAAGGCGTGTCTCCCGACTTGACGATAAACGTATCCGGTCTGACGCTGCCCCATACGACGCCCGCCCGGTGCAGATCCTGCACCACACTTGCTGCGCTCACCGCCCATGTCCTGTGCGGGAAGGGTCACCTCATCGTTTGGTTGATCCGGGTACACGGTTTGCGTGTGAGAGTTTAGTTAGTTGAGCCTTGTTGAACTTGTTTTCTCTCCAGAAAATCGGAAAAATCGATAAGGTGGAAGAGGAATCTCTATCGTTTCGTGTACACATTGACACAGCTGCCTTTTCACACCCATGTATCCAGACAGCCTAGATGGGACCGGGCGTTTCTGTAGGTGACAACGAGATACGTAATGAACGACAACAACACCATGGATATCCCGATGTCCCTGCTTCGGGATCAGGGAAAAAACAGAGATAATCGCACCTGAGCCGCTGCTTGATGTAAGCCTTGGGGTAACTTGGATCCAGCAGCGCTTCCTGTAGCTGGCACACCTTGTCCTGGAGAGTAGTCACCTTCTGGTACGTAGTTGGGGCAACGGCGGTTTTTTAGTAAATTGCGGCGTGGCCCTACATACAAGCGAGATGCAGCTGCAACATCTTGGCGCACAATCCCCCCGAGTGCTAGACTATTGCATGCCAAAATGAAGCACCGCAAGGGTTTGATCACTTCTCTTTCTTGGCAACGCCGAAAAGACGGCAACAAAGAGTACGTTAGTACCGGCAGTATACCAGCCAACACAGCAGATGGTCATATTTTTCTTTCCCCTGCAGAATGTTTCTTTTACTCTTAACGCAAGCCCGGGGGGTTCGGGACAAATCGGTGACAGTTTTAAGACTCGGCACGTTGTCTGTTGCGGCTCATGGCATGCCCTCCTTCCCGCGAGGCAAACCATTTGTACTGAGAAAGCCATGCCCCAACGTGGGTTTGCTCTGCGTTGTACGAAATACATGCTACGCGTGTGGTGGAATCCATCACAACAGAAAGGAGCGACAATATGGCATGGAGAGCTTACAATTTGGTGAAAATATCGTAACCCAATCGACCTAGCCCTTGGGGAGTGTAAATAATATCGTGTTGATTCATTTCTATTACCACCTTGCCGCCCTCCGTGTCCACGTCAAGAACCGCGAGATTCTTGCACCTCAAGAGACGTGCGCGGACCGAGTCCGCTACTGCCGCGTCATATCGCGGCTGCGCTTCTTCCCTACGTTTTCCCTCCCCTCGAGGTGCAGAGGCTTCAGGTTCGTTGCCGCAACCTGCGTTCTGTTCGAACGTGGGGCGATCGCGGGAAATTATACTTGGTGAAGCAGCACGCCGACAGGCGGAAGCTTCAAGGTGACCCACTCCAGCCCGAGCATACCACATTGTCACCATCCTGGCTGTAGATGCTTCCTTACAGCAGTCAACGGCGAGCTGGTACCCGCCGAGACCTCCACGCAAGTATGCAACTCGCACATTGCATGACTTAATGAAACGAAATACCGCAGGCGGCTTTGGACGAGGAGAGGAAAATGCTCGACCCTCTCCAATACTCGTCGCTACAAATTTTAATCCGCTAGCGTGTGGTTTCCCTAGAGAGAGAGAGACTGACCAGCAAGACGCGGCAGTTTCGGTTTGACAGGAAGGGCAGGAAATTTCGTTGAATTTTCAAACACCCCGCACGCCGGAGTAACTTCTTTATGCGTTTTCTAGTCAGGGGTTCAAGTGGCGTGCGCAGAGCAGGGAAATCAAACTATCAACATGCACTCGCTCTGTGAATGTTCTTTCAACGGCAATTTACCCGCTCTTTATTTTTCCGTCAGTCCATACACATAACCAATCATTCGCCTTTTTGTAGCGATCCACGACCTTCATCTACCTTTCAAGACAACCAAACTCATCGGTGCCCCCATCTATACATGTGGCAATTGTATTGATATTCAACCCACGGGACCAACACATGAGGTTTTCTCTTCCACCAACAGACCGATCACCTAGAGAGTTGAGCGTACCTCCGATGGAGACTGGACCGCAAGGTCATCCCACCTCTGAAGAAAATGCTTCTGGTGCACAGGCAACATGCCGATGTTCTTGCAAAACGTCGCGACCTGAGTGTGCAAGGCAAGATCGGCAAAACGCGTTTGACGTGTGAAAAATATTCTACGGTACACGTTTCCTGGGCGTGACAAAACGATGTTACAAACTAAAACATAGCACGGACGCGAAAAGGACTTGTACGCGGTGCCCGAATAATTCAAGCGGCACGGTTTTTATTCAAAGCATCCCCTGTCTTCACCACGGTTCGTCCACACAGCGACAAGCAGTGTTCGGTGATACCATTGCTCAATATGATGAGCCAGTATCGGGCTTGCATGTGAATCGTGAAAATGACTAGTTCACATACCTCCTGTTTCTCGACGTTACACACGAGGAAGAACAGGGAAGAGAATCCTTCATCCAGAAATTTCTGCCGGACACAGCGTAAGTGAGGGGAAAAGTAAGACAACGACAAGCCTCGGGTAAGTGGGATATGCCATTCTACAAGCGATTGTCGCAACGGTTCATCCTACCCCCTACCTAGCATGGTTCGAACGTCAGAACCAAAGACACAAATGTCGATGTGGGGAGCCCTCTCTCTACAGATGTTGAAATATTCTCCCGGTTTTGCACACTGTTGCGTAGGCAGGCCTGCTGTTGTTCTTGCCTGTGTGTAATCCTGCAAGCCCCCTTCTTGCATCCATCGCTCCATGCCGTCGCGAGATCGAAGGGTCGCTTCGTCCACGTTGATTCTTCGGGCCCACTCTCCCACGCTCGTGCCACTGCTGACACTGCCCGCACTTAGTCGCGGCGGTGGCGGTGGGTTCGGTGCTACCTCAACGGCTGCTGCTGCTGGTGGCGCCGCCGCCAGGGCCGGCGTAAATACTATTTCTCGCTCAGGTTGTACTTGTTCGGATCTCCTCCTGTGCGGTGGGGTGGGGGTTTTGGTCCGAGCGTTTTTCCCGAATGTCATGGAGGAGACCGAACGGTTCTGTTCCACCCACATAGTTATAAAAAGGGAAAAGCGCCAGAGAGACTACCCCTCCTACATTAGCTGGAAACAGACCACCACCGTTCACGCTTGGACACACGGGCTGCCTCCTCCCCATGGTCAGTACTCAAGGGATCAGCTGCACCACACCGATAGAAGGAACAAATTGAAGGCCCACAGTATCCAGAGCAAAGGAAGTAACGTTTTCCGCCAACCTTTAAAGCCGCTCTCTAGTCAGTTGTAAGGTGACGTCATAGCGAATACTCACTCAAGGTACTGACCTTTCTTTCTACTGCTCGAAGAATTGCAGAGGGTGTTGTTAAGCCGCTTATCGAGACTATCCTCCATCCACGACTCCTGCATTAGCAGTGGACTCACGCGTCGTTGTACATTACACAGACCAGAGCGTTAAAGCATCATACATATCAACTTGCTCGTTTTTGTCCCTCTGTCTCACTTCCACGCGATGAGCAGGGGCTTCATGGTGTTTTTTGCCTCTCTGGATTTGAAGTCAAACTTGATCCCCGCTGTGTTGCAGCCGGCATCCAACAAAGCCCTCGCGACATCAGGGTAGTTGCTGGGAGGAGAACGAGCAAGATGGCACCGAAGAGAAGTACAAACATCGCTCACGTTAGCATACACGTCAGAGAGAAAAGGAGGAGCAATTAGAGAAAGTATCTGGCCGACACCCTAGCATTCTGAACTTTTTGTATGTTCGGTGGACTGCGACAACGACGACGAGGTGGGAAAAGCAACGCTTTCATGAGGTGCGCAACAAGCGACAGGTAAAAGGCACCAATGGGTCACTCAAAGCTGGTGGCGGCTCGCCCTGACCCATGCCAATATTACCGGGCAGATCCCGGAGCATCGTTGTCGCAATGTTCTCACTAGTTCAAGTTTGGTTCCTGACTCACTTGAAGACGGCATACTGCAGCGGAGTCCATCGCGCAAGGTCGAGGGCATCCAAGTCGGCGTCGTTGCGAATCAGATCCTGATGTGTCGTTCGGAAAGTCACAGCGTGCAGGCATAAGAGCGACACACCAGTGTTGTACTCATCCCATGATGTACTTACATCGACGAAACCGGCTGGAGGGTTGTTTACGGCCACGAGGGTTTACAACAATCTCGTGTCTGGATCACAGGCAAGCGATCAACGCTGCCTTACACTTTCATACGGCGGCGTTGGCCAGAGCGGGAATCCTTGCAAGGAGTGAGGCGCCCGCGTACGGGGGGAATCACTCCGAATTTAATTTCAAGTATTAAGTTTAAATTTCAGTTCCTCTACCAGTAAACGAACGTTTTCGAGACCCGCCGATGATTACAAAAAAACTTCTGCTTCGTATGCAACATTCCCCAGCAATATAAAATGACCAAGAAAACCCCAGGGTTTTGCGGGTGTGAACAACTCTTGTTCTGTGGCGCTGGCGCTGATCCCAGCGGCGGGAGAGCGGTATAACCGATACCCTTTCACCTTCGGTTTCGGGGTTTAGCACCGCATCCGCTGCGGGCTTTATGTAGGTTGAGTGTTGCCAACGCCGATACGTTTCCTGATGGCTCGGTCTCCGTGACCCAACACATTTCCACCGAACACAGCAGTAGGAACAACCACGAGAGCTAAACTGGGCAGTGTGTTCGACGCGCTGCCTTCATTATGACCCTCACGCGCAAGGCTGAAACCTGAATGCAAGACTACAATAAATCGAATTCAACTCATGGTAGACTATCATATCGGGCGGGGTTGGACGGTGAGACAAGAATACTGAGCTACCCGACGCTGCTGCTTCTACTGCGCAATACGTGCCTGGACGATGTCGACTCTCCCGGTCTTGCTAGCGACGTGTAACGCTGTCGTCCCTGACGTCGGCTCCGACTGGTTGATGTTGACGCCCGTCATGAGCAACTGCGACACGTGCTCTTTGTCGCCCTTTTGGTCGAGAACGCGGTTGGTTCGTTGTTTGCGTGCGTCGCCCCGAATTGGAGGACGACGGGTTTCAACAGAAAGGTGACACAACGGGTGGTCACGTACGCGGAAGTTTCTTACCGGTTGGCGGGAGAGGAAGCAGGGATATGGCAAACACACTGATCTACATGTGGAACCATTTTTTTCTGATAATCCGCCGGGAATCAGATCTGGAACGGATGCTCGCACTTG